GGTACTCACATTGAGAGGCTGAGAGAAGGAAGATGAACCAGGGAAGGAAATAAGAGAGACAGAGAACTTATGGAAGAATGAGGAGGGCATTGCCAAGGAAGCCAAAGGAGGAGAAAGCATCAAATATGGGGTAGTAGTGGTAGTATTCAGTTGTTTTTCAGTTGTGTCTGACTTTTTGTGACCTCATTTGGGTTTTTCTTGGCAAAGATACTGGAGTAGTTTGCCATTTCCTTCTCCTGCTAATTTTACAGATGAGGAAACTGAGACAAACATGGTTAAGTGACTTGCCCAGGGTCACACAGCTACTTAAGTGTCTGAGGACAGATTTGAACTCATGAAGATAAATCTTCCTGATTCCAAACTGCTCCATTAGGGGCAGTGGTGAACAACATCAAATGTTGTTGGCAATTGAGGAGAATGAGGACTGAGAAAAGGCCAACAGATGTAGCAATCTGGCAATTAAGTCTTTAGTTAACCCTGCAGAGAGCAATTTCATTGGCATAGTTGGTATAAAAACCACAATAAAGAGGGCTGAAAACCGAACGGGTGGTAAGGAAGGGGATGCACTAATAGAGACTCTAATTCTGTCCAGAACTATTGTAATGAAGCTATAAGACAGAGAATGCTAAAGGAAAGGCTTAAGACAAGGAAGATTAACTTTGCTATGACGTAAGCTATATCTTCCTAGATTGTTTCTCACATACAACAGTTACTGACATCATTTTTTAAAAGTGCTATTGGTCAGACCCCAGCTTCTGGGATAAGAATCCACTCTTTGAAAAAAAATGCTGGGGATAGAGCACTGGCCCTGAAGTCAGGAGGACCTAAGTTCAAATCCGGCCTCAGACCAAACACCTGACACTAGCTGTGTGACACTGGGCAAGTCACTTAACCCCAATTGCCTAAAAAAAAAAGAAAAAAAAAATTAAAAAATAAAAGAAAAAAATTGCTGGGAAAACTAGAAAAGAGTATGGCAGAAACTAGGCATAGACCAAAACCTCACAACATATACCAAAATAAAGTCAAAATGGGTTCATGATTTAGATATAAAGGCTGATACTATAAGCAAACTGGGAGAGCAAGGAATAGTTTACCTATCAGATCTATGGAGAACAGAAAAATTCATGAACAGGAGACAGAGAAAATTACAAAAAAAGCAAAATGGAAAACTTTGATTACATTAAATTGAAAAGGTTTTGCACAAACAAAGCCAATGCAACTAAGATCAGAAGGAAGGTAGAAAATTGGGAAAGAATTTTTACAACCAGTCTCTTTGATAAGGGCCTCATTTCTAAAATATATAGAGAATTAATTCAAATCTATAAGAATACAAGTCATTCCCAATTGATAAATGGTCAAAGGATATGAACAGGCAGTTCTCAGATAAAGAAATTAAAGCCATCTATAGTCATATGAAAAAATGCTCTAAAATCACTATTGATTAGAGAAATGCAAATCAAAACAACTCTGAGGTACCACATCACACCTATCAGAGTGGCCAAGATGACAAAACAAGAAAATGATAATGTTGGAGAATATGTGGGAAAATTGGAACATTAATGCATTGTTGGTGGAGTTGTAAAATGATCCAACCACTGTGGAGAGCAATTTGGAACTATGCCCAAAGGGCTATAAAAATGTGCATACCCTTTGAACCAGCAACAGCACTTCTAGAGCAATATCCCAAAGAGATCATACAAATGGGTAAAGGACCCACATGTACAAAAATATTCATAGCAGCTCTTTTTGTGGTGGCAAAGAATTGGAAATTGACAGAATGCCCATCAACTAGGGAATAGCTGAGCAAGTTGTGGTATATGAATGTAATAGAATACTACTGTGCTATAAGAAATGATGAACAGGCTGACTTCAGAAAAACCTGGAAAGACTTGTATGGTCTGATGCTGAGTGAAGTGAGCAGAACCAAGAGAACGTTGTACACAATAACAGCCACGTTGTGTGATGACCAATATTGATAAACTTAATCCTTCCCAGCAATACAAGGATCTAAGATATCTCCAAAGGCCTCATGATGGAAAATGCTATTCACATCCAAAGAAAGAACTATGGAATTTGAATGCAGACTCTTCTGTTTAGTTTTGTTTCCTCTTTCTGATTGTTCCTCCTATTGGTTCTAATTTTGACTTACAACATCATTAATCTGAAAATATGTTTAATAAGAATGTGTGTGTGTATATGTATGTATATATACACTATATCAGATTGGGCCGTCTTGGGGAGGGTGATGGGGAGAAAGGGGAAGAAAAATTTTAAACTCAAAAGCATATGGAAGTGATTGTTGATAAATCAAAATTAATTAATTAATTTTTTAAAAAGTGCTATTGGTCAAGATCTAAAATTAAAAAAAAATTTTCTGGTTTATCTTTCTACATCCCAGATATTGACAATTAAAAAAGTGCTAGCAAACCTGAACAATAGAAAATAAGTAGTCTATAAAAGAAGGAGGTGAAACAACAGGTACAACAGCATTTAATTAGGACATACTATCAATAAAACTAAGAATTGCTGATTAAAGAATAGGCCCAGAATTAGAATTTTGAGGAAAATATGCCTGATAATTAGAAACGGCCAATATACACAGGAGCCTCTCCAGCCTATGTGCACTGTTCTTCTACCATTGCATATTCTTATTATTACCCTGGTTTACTACTTGCACATTTACATTTTGCCAATTCCTACAACTTCTAATGTCAACACTGTAAGTGTGAGGCAACAAAGTATACATATCCAAGTCATGATGAAAATATGAATGGATAATTTACTGATTGTCTTCCTCTTAAGAATACAGGATTCAGGGCTGGAAGATATGGGTTCAAATCTTCTCTCTGCTGTTTAAGGCCTCTATAACTCTGGGCAAATCATTTAACATTTATGAGCCTTGGTTTCCTGGTAAAGTGAGGCAGCTGTAATAGATTAGTTGATTAGTTGATCTCTAAGGTCCCTTCCAGCTCCAAATCCTGCATTGAAAGCAGGGGTTCTTTACCTGAAGTTTGTGAACTTGAAAAAAAAAATTTATAACTATCTCAATGATTGGTTTCCTCTGTAATTTCATGCACATTGTTTTACGTATCTAAAAACAGTATTCTGAAAAGAGGTCCATAGATTTCCCCAGACTGCTCAAAGTGTCTGTGAGAAAAAATAAATAAATAAAAAATTTTAAAAATAAAGAATGCTTGCTGTAACAGCAACAGCACAAGGTCAACTCAGTAGGACACTGTTGCTTTTATTCTTCATCATTAAAAAAAGATCTTGTTAACAAGGAAAAGGGATTTCACTAAATCAAGTCAAAGTTTTTGCTCAGTTTAAAATACAGTACCTTTTTATAACAACAAAAAAAACTATATAGCAGATACTTTTAAGACTCCACTAACATCCTAATTTCATGTAATATTAAGTACTACAAAACTTGTAGTATGACATAAAAAATCTATCTTTCTTACAGATTGCTGAAAGAGAATTTGACTTGTGTACTATTCGTTACAGAACCTAACTTTCTTCATCTGACAGTAATCAGTGGAATCACATTACATGCAAATCCTGCTACAATATCTAACAATTTTCAGACTGAGGCAGCTGAAGCAGTGGTCAAAGAATTTAACTGTGGTTAACACACTCTTTAAGCACTCTTCCTTTTACTGTCAGTAAAAAAGCTATTGCTGAAAACCAAAAAATGGGGCATCCAGTAGCAAAGAAATTAGTAAGTGAAAAAGAAATAACACATCCTCCTGTAAACAAAGGGGAAAAGATAAATAAGGTAGAAAGCAAAGGAGAAAACATCTGGATAAAGATTAAATTCACTCTGGATGAATGCTAATCATAAGATTTTTTTTTTTAGCTTTAGGTTGGAGAAATAAAACATTGAATTTATACAAATTATGCTACTAGAAAGTTTTCTAAGTACATAATTGTTAAGAATATTTCCCCCCGATGATGTATTATAATGCCAACATTATTGGTATATACTCTACCATATCTGCTATACAATATTTTATTACAGCCTAAAAGAACATTTGATATCTCTAATTTAACCGAAAGAATAAAAAAAATTTATTCAATAGCCAAAACAGCACTGGTGCTCAAGTCAGAGAAAAAAGTTTTTTTGTTTTTAAATAAAATATTCTGAGTGTGTCATTAACATGGGAGCACAGCAAACAGTATGGTATTTGTACGGAGGCATAAAATGGAAAAAACACTGGACTCAGGAGTCCGAGGACTTGGTTCTAAGTTGAAGACTGGACACTTACTGGCCCTGTGACATCATCTTGGTATGCATCAGTTTTCTAGTGCTAAGGATATATTTTTACTTAAAGAGTGGAATTCTTACCTAGTAAGTCGTTTAGGTTGAGGCCGTTCACCAAATTTCCTGTGGAAAAAAAAAAGTAAAAAAATTTAAAACAACTTGTAGAATACATTTCACAGTAAAACTGTTAATCCCCTCCCCTTTTAACTAAAATTTCAGATACAGTGAAAACTCTATGACATATACGATTTTCAGTCTGTTAAAAATATTTTGGAAGATAATGAAAAAATGCAGTTGTAAATAAATGCCTGAACTCAGAGTCAAAATGACATACAATTCTAAATACCTTTTAACAAAATATCCTTAAGTATATTCTTTTCCTAGGATCACAGAACCATAGTTTTAGAGATGGCAAGGAACCTCAGAGGTCATCCAGTCAAAAATACTCATTTTATAGATGAAGAAATTGAAGGGGTGTGGCATAATTGAATCCAGGTCCTCTGACTCAGACCACTTTACCAATGTACCATACTGTTACTTTGCATTAAAGTTAAGACAAATATTCAACAAAGCCCTAAACACAGTAAAAACTCCTGGAGGTCAATTTAATTCTACTATATCCCCAAAGATTCTATTAATGGAGACAGGGATTTTCAACAACCCAAGAGTTCAAATAAGTTCAAAGACATGGGGCAAATCCCAGGACTGTCCTAGAGACAATTCAAATTCCTGAATCATTCCTATTTAATCAAGATCATTTATCCAATGGCATCTGCCCCAATGTCATACTTCAGATGAATCTAATAAAATTCCAACTTCTAGTTTCTCAATCGGGTACAATCAAAGATGAAAACAAAAACTCAAGTTTAAAGTCTATGGGAAATATTATCAGTCTAAAATAAATCAACTTCCAGAACAAAAGAATTTTTGTATAAATAATATAATAATTATTACATACTGGAACGGGGCTGAGGTTAGAGGGTACAGCATTAGTAAAGCCACCCAAATAGGAAAACAGTGTTCATTTCTACAAACCAATTTCAAGAGTTGGAATCTTTGTCTACTTGATTTCTGCGCCTCATGGAATCCTGTTCTTTCAAAGTTCTGGTTAGGTGCTACCTCCTTTATGAAGCCTTCTCTGAATCTCTCATCCCCCATTAGTTAGTGTCCTCTCCCACTTAAACCTTCGTTATATTTATGTGAGTACAAGTTATAGTCTCCATGGTGTCATTTCCCTTTAACAGAATGTAAGATCCTCGAGGTCAGGGTCTGTTTGGTTTGTGTTTGGAACACAATCCTTCACACAAGAATTCATTAAATTTTGAGAAATCCAGTTTGACTACTACAGAAGGTCAGTGATGGTGAATAGTAGGAAGTACAGCTGGAAAAGTTGATTGGGATTTATCCTACAGGCAGTGAATGGGAAGGCGGCAAAGGTAATGAACAGGGAATAGACGTTAAAACTGATGGAAAACTAATAAAGACTAATAAACAAAGACAGAAGAAGGGTGTGGAGGCAGGAGGAATCAGGTAGAATAATTCACTATTTCAGGAATATGGGCCTAAACTATGATGTTTCCAAGGAATACATAAAAAATAATTTATAAATGACAGAACCTCATGAAAACTTGGATATTTTGCGCAGAGAGAACAGGGAAGGGAGAGAAGGGAAAGACAAGAAAAATAATATATAAATGACAGAACCTGATGAATGACTGGCTATGTGAAGGAGAATAAAAGTTGAAGGCAATTTTGAGCCTATGTGACTGGAATAATTATGTGTTTGAGAAATTTCTTCCAGCTGGGAAAGAAGTTGATTAGGTAAAATTTCATGGTAAAGCTAACATTTGACTAAGTCTGGAAGGACAAGATGTCAAAAGGCAGAAAATGTAAGGGTGTGCCCAAGGGTATTCCAGGTATAGGGAAAGAATCATCAAAACAAAACTTCAAGAGGATGTATCCAGTATGGCTGAAATATCTAAGAGTTAAGTCAAGTTAAAAGGATTTATTAAGCACCTACTACGTGTCAGACACTCTGCTAAGTGCTAGCGTCTCAAAGAAAGGCAAAATTAGCTCCTGCCCTTGAAGAGTTAACATTTAATGGGGGAGATAACATGCAGACAACTATGTACCAATAAAATATATAGAGCATAAATTGGAGATAATCTCAGCGGGAAGGCACTAACATTAAGGAATACAGGGGAAAGGCTCCTTGCAGAAGACAAAATGGTAACTGAAATCTGAAAGGAGTCAGGATGCATAGGTGAGGAAAGAAGGAATTCCAAGTATAGAGGATAGCTTGTAAAAATGCCCAGAATCAGGAGATGGAGTGTCTTGTTTGAGATCAATAAGGAGGCCAGTGACACTAAATTGTAGAAAGGACTGAAGTACAAAAAGACTGGAAAGACAGAAAGGGACCAAGTTATAACAGCTTAAAATCCAAATTGATCCTGGAAGCAATAGGGAGCTACTGGAACTTAGTGACTAAGGGAGTGACATGGTCAGACCTGAGCTTTAAAAAGATCACTCTGATAGATGATTGAAAGATGGACTGGCATGAAGAGAGACTTAAGGTAAGGAGGTCAATCAGAAAGCTACTGCAATAATGCAGGTAGTAAGATGACAAGAGGACTACACCAAGGTGATGGCAGTGTCAGAGGAAACAAGGGGCTATATACCATAAATCTTGTAAACGCAGAATCAGTGAGACTTAGCAAAGGACTTTATGGGGGTGAAGACAGGGTAGTGAGAGTGAGGAGTCAAGGATGCCTTTGAGGTTGCCAGCCTGGGTGGCTGAGAAGATGAATTCAATTTTGGACCTGTTGAGTTTAAGATGTTTACAATTCATCCAGATCAAGATGTCCAATAGGCGGTTGGAAATGAGAGGCTGGAGGTTAAGAGAGAGGTTGGGTTGACAAACAGATTTGAGAATCATCTGCATAGAGATGATAATTGAATTCACGGGAGAAAATGAGATCACCAAGCAACACAGCACAGAGGGAGAAAAGAAGAAGGCCCAGAACAGAGACTTAGGGAACATCCACAGTAAGTGGGCTTAGCCTCAATGAAAATCCAGCAAATGGAGACTAAGGAGTGGTTAGACAAGTAGGAGAAAGATCAGGTACCAATGAATTAAGGCTGGAAAGGTGGACTGATGTGAGATTGTGGAAGGCCTCAGATATGCCCAGGAGTTCGGGGTTTTATTTTGTAGGCAATGGTAAGTCACTGAAGATTTCCAATTAGTGGAATGCCTTGATCAGAGCTACACATTAGAAAGATTAATCTTGAAGCTGTGTGTTAAGTAAAATTAGAAAAAGGCAGAGATGAGAGGTTAGAAAGCCTATAAAGAAAACTACTATAAAAAGACCAAGGAGAAGTAAGGAAGACCTAGGGTATTAAGTACTTTCCTCACAATACCTCTGTTCTGGGCTGGGCCTGACTTAGGTCCAGGAACCTGATAGTCTGAAATGAAATGAAAAACTCATAGGTCACTTTAATAATTAACAATGTTCTCAAGCTTATATTATATATAAGTATTATTATACCAAATTTACAGATGAGGAAACTGAAGTTCAGAGAGGCTAAACAGCTTACTTTTGGACAAATAGTTAGAAGTATCAGAGCTGAAAAGGTAGGATCTAGCAATCTGTTTACTAGACCGTGTCACTCCCTGTAACAGTAAGAACAAAGATGGAAGAATTATTATGGGCTTGGAATCCACAGGATTTAGAGACACTGTATTTATGGGACAGAATCAAAGGTGATTTCGAAGTCACAAAATTTAAATGACTGAGGAGATGGGGGCTCCATGACTGTGAAAGGCAAGAAGAAAAAAGAACAAGTTAGAGGGGAAAGAAAATGAGCTCAGTTTGGAGCTCCAGACAAGTCTGAAACTTGATCAGTATTGAAGATGTGGACTTGAGTGTTCTCTGTAGAAAGGATAAGTGAAACCATAGTAGTACATGAGATCACCACGGGAGATAGGATAAAGAGACAGGGGAAGGCTAACAGTAGCACTTTGGGAAATGTCTATATTAAGGGGGTGGAATAAAGAAGATTTATAATGACAGAGAAAGAATGATCATAGGGATAGATGATTCAGGATGGTATATGTTACAGAGGCCAAGAAAGGAGAGTTTATGAGAGAGATGGATGGTTAACAATGTCAAATGTTAGAGACAGGTGAAAGAATATGAGAATATTTATCCTACTTTTTCTCTCATAGTAAACCCCTTCTTCACTTTCACAATAACAAGTGTCTTGAGCAGCAGTAAGAGTACTGGAATTGGAGTCAGGCAAAACCTGGGTTTAAATCTTGCATCTGACATTTCCCAGCTATGTGAGTTTTGGCAATGGTCAGCCTCAATAAACTTTAACCTCAGTTTTTTCATATGTAAAATGGAGATATCACTTGCAATGTTTACTTCCTGGAGCTGTCATGAGGAACAAATGAAATGATGTAAAAAAGTGTTTCACAAATCGTTAAGCATTAATTAAATGTCAACTATTTGCCCATATTTATTCTACTGGTTCATCCCATCTTCATCACATGGTTTTTGCCACATCACTATTTCACTAGTTATTACCCAGAGGTGAAGAAGTTATATCAAGTAGGATTCCTTTACCTATTTATGGACTATAATCCCAGGTGGGAACTTTGCTGCTATTAAAAATGTTTTTCTATTCTACCTTTATAATTTTCAAGCTACTTCTATTCCTTTACAATGGAAAACTGATCTCTTAATACACTGAGGAGACTGAGATCAACTAACATCTGCTTTATCAGCTCTCTTCCATCATATAAAACTTGTCCTTTTCTTTACCTACTCTCTCCTCCTTTCCTCTAGTCATTCATTCTCTTTACTTCATCCTTGAATTCTATTCTCTTCTGCCTAATCCAGCACCTTAATTCAGCAATCATCTGTTCACTTATGAATTTACCTTCAACCTTTCTCCCAGTTTCACCTCATCTGCTTACATAAAAGTATATTCAGCCTTCCTTCATCCACGTAACCAATTCAGCTACCTATGTAGTTCTTTTTGCTGCATAACTTTCTGAAAAAGTCACTTCCCATTTCTTCCTCAACCTCCCCCAACACCACTGAACTACTTCACAAAAGCCA